GGAAGGATTCCAGGAAGGAAGGAAGGAAGGATTCCAGGAAGGATTCCAGTAAGGAAGGATTCCAGGAAGGATTCCAGTAAGGAAGGTTCCAGGAAGGATTCAAGGAAGGAAGGATTCCAGGAAGGAAGGAAGGAAAAGCAGAAAAACACCGTCACTTTCACTGTGTTATCCCTTTCCAAAGCAATGCAAGGTTTGTGGTTACCAACACTAATTGACTGTATTAACTTGGAACATAAAGCAGTTGAAATTTCCTTTAGCAGAGTTAAACTGCCTTGCAAGCCGCACACGCAGGTGTTTAAGGACACTGCCAAGAACCCAGGTTATTTATAGAACGTTGAACAAAGAAGGCCAAATTAAGAATAAATGTGGTCTCCCATCTCCCAAGTCTGGATTTGGCTTGATAGAACCGTGTGTCTTGAGGCAGTCAGCATGGACAGAAGGTTACTCTCAGAGAATCACAGAATTTCTTTCCCTCAAGCCACAGGCATGAGGCTCTGGGTGAGGTACACCTGTCTCACTGCTCAGCTTTTATGTTTCTGGTTCCTAGAACTCTATCCACAGCTGTGACTGGGAGCCTCAGTTTCCTGTAAAACCCACCACGGGATCGGGGTAAGGAAAGAGAGGTGGGCTGCACAGAACAATATTTACAGGCAGCAAAATAGAAGGAATGTTTAGAACAAAGCAAGGAGCCATACTGAAAAAAAATAAAAATCAAAGCAGCACCTTAGGAGGCAGTGAGAGAAAAGCTGATAGGGGTATTCAGGCTCTAAAGAGACAGAGGCATGGTCAGTCTGTGGACAGCCACACTACCCCAAACAGGCCTGAACAGATTGGCAGACCAAGGAAAACAGGCTCACAAAGAACAACTCACATCCCTTTAGCAAATCATGGTGAAAAGGCAGTGGGAGCTCACAGCCGTGACTGTTACTCCAGTTTGAGTGCTGACAATTTGGTTGCACGTTTAGAAGGAGTAACTAAAGCAATAAAGAAATTGGATGCGTATCCCTTGCTGTGCCAAGAAGGGTGATTCCTCCCCTAAAACACTGCAGGCAGGCAGGTTTCCCCCACAGGGAGCAGGCTGACCTGGGACAGCCTGCAGGTGCAGTTACCTCTCTCTGCAGTTTGCGTTTCTCTGCCTTCAGTTCATCCTCTACTCGCTCAGCATTTTCAGCAGCAGTTTTGTATCGGGCTACCTGGCCTTCCAGTCGTATTACCTGAGGTGAAGGCAAAGGTTGGGAATTAGAAGCTGTACCAAGAAGTTACTCAGAAGCTTTATTCTTCCACTAGTACTCAAGGAATAATCAGAGAGATTCTAACTCCTGTTTTTTTCAGGGAAAAAAACACCACCAAGGAAGCCTGGCAACAGTAACTTACTCCCACCCTTTTATACATATCCATATTTAATATGCTTCCAGCAACAAAAGGTACAGTCTATTGACTAAATTTCTCTTAGCAAGAGCATTGCTGACATACCCTGGACAAGAGCAAACAATCAAAATGGAACAGCTGTGTGTAAAATCCATCTCTACCACATCACATGCTGGGAGCCATTTAAAACCTGTTGACAGCTAGGCATAAGGAAGAGTTCAGCAGAGTTCATCAGGTACTTTTGTCTTTGACCATTCTTCCTTCAGTACAGAGAAATAATATATTCCTTTTTCCCCAAACATAAATGTCACAGTAGCCCTCATGCTCCAACACTCCCGTTCTTGTTTTAAGGGAAAATCACAGTAAACGTAATTTCATTTATCATTTATCCAAATACACTTTCTCTTTGTATTCTCACCATTCCTAAACAAAAAGAACAAGCCAAAAACTTACATTCTGCTCCAATGCTGTTATCTCTTGCTCAGACTTTGCTAGTTTAAATTTGAGATCACTGATCTGTCTGTTGGCATCTCCTAAAAGAATCGCAGATTTATCAGAGATATCAGAACAAGTGTGAACAGTTTCTAACAAGTCTGTTGTAAAATTTCCATGCATCAGGGATCTACGTGGGCCAGCAGGAGAGTAGCTCTCTCAATAAGTGCCCAGCAGAGAGGCACCATTCCCAGTCCTGCCTGATTCCCTGCCAACCACTCTGAAGGCAGAATTAATCTGAACTCACCCCAGCTCTGCTGAGGAGCAATAATACACACTTCCAACTGCAATCTGAAATAAAGGCTCCTAATTCCCTCACCTCTGTAGAGGTGCCTGGCTATTCCCAGGTCCCTTGAAACTGAAGGCTCATCCTTACTCAGAGCCGTGGGCTTATTAATGTACTGATACTTTTTCTCACTCACATGCAGGGCACAAAATTCTCTTAAAATCAAAATACAGCTCACTTTGGAGGTCAATCATGTGCATATCTGTCCCGTTTTCCAGAACTTCATCATCAGACTGTGTATTTTCCATCTTGCCATTCCTTTGTTTTTCTTCTAGTTGTCCCTTTAATTTTTTAATCTGAAGGACAGAAAATAGTTATTAAAATAACTAAGGGAAATTGTGGCTCGAATTCACTCCAATATTACAAAAAAAATTATGTATTTTTTAAACCTAAATTCCCAAAAATCTTTTTTGCTATTAAAAAATATCCTAGAAATTCTTTGCCAATGTCTCGTGGTATTTTACACATCAGTGCTTACGTATAAGCTCAGGACCAAAACAAGTGAAAGATGGCTGGTTTATTAGAAAAGCCATAAATCTTCTCCAGGCACATTCATGTAAAATTTTCTTTAAAACTTTCTTAAAAACTCCCAAAGCTGTGTTTCATTGTGTGCGAGTCTCAAGGCCAAGGCCATTGAGCATAAATGAAAGCACATAGTGTCCGGCAGGACAACAGATCAGCTGAAGTTTTTTTTTAATAAGCTTTATAGCCACTATGGAATACCATGGTACAAGCAGTAATTCCTTGAATTACTCTTTGAAGACCCATCTGCAATTCCTCCAACAAACCCAAACAAACGGCCCATTTACCCACACACCCAGCAAAAGGGAGGGCTAACTCTTGGAAAGAAAAATTGCTTAGACAATTTCTGAGCCACGCCTGTTTTTCAGATAATAATCTGAAGGATTATTATTCAGAAATAAGAGGCACACTGGGTCGTATCTTCCACGTATCCTGAGTTAACACACAGGAGGAATGTTTTGGAGGAAGAACAGAGTGGCCAGCAAGGCAGCAGGTCCTCAGCAAGAGCAACCAAATCACAGCACTGCTGCTCCACATCTTGTGTTTGGGCTATTTTCATTCTCTTAACCCTCTCCTGTTCTTCAGTTGCCCTGTGATTACCTGGTCTAGCAAGGACTCCCGTTCATCAATGAGCTTTTTCAGCCTGTCTGGAAGAGAAAAGGGAGAGTTGAGTGCTGATTGATCAAGTGACACATCGGGGAGTGCATCTGAGACACGAGACTGACCCGTTGAGGTTAGTGACTACTGATGGGGGAGTTAGGGCACGTACCACAGGACACGAGGCCCAGACAGGGCTGGGGGGGCTGCAGCCAGGGCACTTATGGCATTCTCACAGAACATGCTTGTCCCAGCAGTAGCAGCAGCCAGCTGCATGCAAAGAGGCTAATCTTCTACGTTAGGTTAGCATGCAAGAACTCTCTAGGGTCAAGCACAACTGCAACACAAAATCTCACAAATCTTGACAGTTTAACACAATGACAATACTGTAAACACCTATAATCACAGCTAAGAACATTCTCAGCACTTTAACTCTTCCCTTCTTTTACATGGCAGTGATATTTTAGCTCCAATATTATGACCAGAAAAACATTTGCCCGTCAAATTATTTGTGTTTCGAATGCAGCAGTCTGGTAAAACTCTGTTTTCTCTTCAGAGTCAATTCTCTAGGTCAAACATCAAGAGGCAATGGACAACCTGCACCAACTGTTGTGCTGCATATGGACTTGGAAATGTTATAGATGGGTATGTGCAGCCTTCATTAATAAAGTGTTCTCTACAGAATGAGACGGCTGGAAAAAAGAACTACAAAGTAAACAACCAAATCACTTCATTTTTTTTCCTTCATCATCAAGGGCTGCAAAATATGAGAGCACATTTTCCAAACCACCCAAATGACCTCATTAATTAACAAGCTCTGTTTGTCCAGGTACACCTCAGGCAGGAGTACACTGCAGCATCCCATTCAAATACACTCATTAGGAGAGGATCTGTGGACCTCAGCTGGGTCTCAATGCAAGTTTGTTCAGTGGCCTGCCTTGCCAGCAGTGCAGAGCCCAGGCTGTTCACAGCTCAACTCCACAGCTGAGGTCTGGCCTGCTGATTAAACGGTTAAAATCCAAAGGTCACTCAAGAAAAAGATCTATTTGTAAACTTTAGGAAAGCAAGGTAAATTACACCTAAGAGCCTGGTGGGCTTTTACCAGGTAAATTCTGCTGAATGATTTAAATATTTTTGAAGAGCTTTAAAAATACCATTTCTTTTTTGTTGACAACTCCTGAACAGGCCAGAGTCTCGTGGTTCTCCCTTTTTTCTTGTTAGCACATGCACTTAAAGGGAATCAAGAGTCTGCATTGAATCAAATCATGGTGAAAACTGGTTTCCCAATGGAAGTCCCTCTGTACAGCAGACTGTACATGTAGAATCCATTAATGTGGTATGTGATTCCCCTCCTGGAATACACACCCCCATACAGTCCCATTCCAGAGCATGGAATAAAACCTTTACCTTGGCTTCTGATGCAATACCCAAATACAGATCATAGTGTGACATCCCAGTTCAACAGATCTATGGATTAATTTAGAAGTCTTACTCTTTTTTTTTTTTTTTTCAGTCCATTTGTAACACACCCAACATTGTTACACCTGATTACACTGATAGGAAAAAACAAAAAAAAACTCAAACCCACTTTTTTTTTTGTAAATACCACCCACAATCAAAATTTCAGAGTACAAACCCCTTCAAAATAATAAAACAATTTCACAGATCTAGATGGGAAGGAAAGAAAACTTAAGACAGAAATTCTGCAAAAGATGAAAGATATGGAAGAAAAATAAAGGTCAATGAAGAAAGCAAGAACAGCAAACAGGTTGAAGATACTTGGACTCAAGAGATTGTGTTGGGACTTACAGGCCAGCAAAGACTGAGAAATGGAGTGCCAAGCATTGGAAAGAGAATGAGAACTGGTGCAGCAGGAAACCTTTAGACCACTACAAAATTAGCCCACACTTATTGACTCCAAAAGGGCCAAGTAATGCACTTTGATCCTGAAAATAATTTAGTTAAAATAATTTAACCACTGCTGTGGGATGAAACCTGCCTGCCTGAAGAAGGGACACCTCTTCCAGCTTCCAGTAAGGATGCACAGTGGCTTCCCCAAAGCCTTTCTCCTGCAAAAAGGATGCATTTTGGGGTGAACCTTCAAGTTTGATCTCACCCTCAGCTCCCTCTGCCCTCATTACGGATATCTGTGCACCCCAGTGGGACATGCAGACAGCAGGGTTTACAGATCAGGGAAAAAAATAGTTTGCTAAAATTGCCATTCACCTAGAAGTTTTCTGCCTGAAGAGATGAGGGTCTCTTGGGTTTCAGTTATCTTAAACCCCCACATTAACACAGAAAACTTACTCTGCAGAGTCACCTTAGTTTTGCATTTAGGAGGTATTTTTCCAACAAATCTGAGAACCTTGAGAACAGGTGAGCAGGAAAGAACAGTCGATTGAATCAGGACAGGAAGCAGCTAATTAAAATACTCATCTGTAACAGTCATTATCCTTATTCCACATACAAAGACTCTACAGGAGTAATTAGAGTGTGACATTCACCTCACTTAACTTTGGAAAGGTGATTCCCAGGGTACTCACTGCACCAGTTCCTGGCCTTCACACACCACAGAGTTTAAGAGAGGACTGAGGAGGAGATGGATGGGGCCTGTGAGGGAGCAGGACACAGAGGGGTGGGCATGGTGCTGCCCAGTGTCTTCTGCCAGTTTCTAAGTGACTGATCTCACTGCCTTGGCATGGCAGGTCACTCGAGGCATTGCTCACTCAGGTGCTGCTCCAGTTGCACCAAACGTTCCCAAATCAGCCACAGATCCTCCATGTCTCTTTCCACTTGGAGGGAAGCACAGGATGGGAAGCAGCTGGTTTTACCTGCATGATTTACATGATGTGTGGCCCAGGAAGTAACCAACCCTGATGTAAATGAAAGGGGTGAACTGCTCCTGGAGGATGGAAAGACATCCCATGAAATCCCAGCCCCAAGCAGCTATTCAGAACAGCCTGCAAGGATCCACCTGTCAGAGCAGGTTGGGCAATACTCCTCCTCCAGATCTGTCAATTTATTTTGGATGATGAGAAAATGCTTTCCTGTCTTTCTCAGAAGAGGGGCACTGCCAAGGACAGCACAAGATTTGAAAGACACCAGCTTGCAGTAATGATTTTGAGGGGGGCAGCAGCCTGTTCTCAGTAGTAAAGAAGATATTGACCAAGACCTTTTCCCTATTTATTCCCCTTTTTTATCAAGTTTCTTGAGATACTGCATTTGAAAGCATTTCAGGCTAGCTCTGATATGTACAAACCTGGGCTCCAGCATTTATGTGCCACTAGGTGATGACCAGAAAACCCAGCAAGCATTTGGGGTTATTCTGAAGACCAAAGTTTCATCCTTGGGTCACATACTCATTTTCAACATTCCACGAGATGGATTTCTGGCACACCAGCTACTCTGCACTGCCTCTCCATGTTCTTGCTCCCAGTTACACTGGGAGTGGGATCAAAGCTGGTACATGGACATGGTAAGATTGGAGGTGTTTCTGCTCCTCTGACTTGGCTTAAAAAAGGAATTCCCTTAAAAATGCTGTGTTTTCTGAAGTGGAAAAACTAGTTAAAATCAGAAGTGAACTCATAAGAAATGCAGGATATAATGGCATGTTGCTTAATTTAACTCTGATAGATCCATCCACAGTACAGGTGAAGCCTGGCAAGAACATTTAATGCTCTGTTTAAGTCTAATTAACAATTAAAACCCACTTCCAACATTAAACCATATATTACTGTTGAGAGTACAGCAGAGCCACATCTTTAAATAAACACTATTACATGCTAATAAGAAATGCTTATAAGATCTATGACTTTTTGGATTAGCATCTAGTGTAAACCCTTAGGAACAACTGCCAATACTTACAGGAACCATGGTGGATCTGCTGTAAGTTGGAGAGAAGCCACATGAAAGGAGTTACAGGGTTACAGACCTGTTAGAGCTCTACAGTTAAGGTGCCATCACATATTCAAGGTGCTCAAACCCCGAGGCTGCCCAGTCCTGGGGAGATGGCCAAGGCAATAAATTGAACAAAAGCTGCAGAAAAATGCTGTTGAAATGACACAGGTTTAAATAACTTCTTGTGCAGGTTTAGAAACAGTGCTCTGGACAGGTACTTTAAAGTATAAAATATGTTTATTTAAATTATATACAGCAGTACATTTTGATATACATCTTCAAATTTTGCAGTCTGTCTGTGCTTTGACAACTTTGTAACATCAACACAAATACAGCCTTCCATAGCCCACACCCCCCCTCGATCTGCATTCCCTTGGGACATTCATTGCTGAAGACTTTAAATGAATATTTATATATGCAAAACATGCTCTTCCTCCCAAGCACTAGCAGAGATGCAAGAGGAAATACAGCAAGGGAGCCCGAGAGCCTAATTTATGCCAGCAATTCAAAGCAATCCAGCTTTTCCAAAAGGCACAGGGGGGATAGTACACAAAACAACATTCTCTTTGGTCTGATATCCAGCAAGAGTTAAGACATGCAAAGTTATCTTCTTTCCAGAAGGGAAGAGATAAAAACATTCTTTCAGAATCAGAGTTTGCAAAAAAATATAATGCAAATGCAATTTTAAACAAAAATCTTCTTGGAAAAATAGGTATTTTATATATTCATATCTAGACAGTACTTGATAGCAAACCTAAGCACACATTACAGTGTGTATTGACACTTTCTCTGGAAAAAATAAAAACCCCATGTGAGACATGGTGTAGAAGGCCTATTGTGGTGCAAAGTGCCTAGATGAAGTAAACATGGATATATTTATTCCTTTCAGCAAACTGAGACTTGTATGTTGCACTTTCTCCAAAGTATGTATTGCTCTTCCAAGGTGCTCAGACTAAGCAGATTCACAGTGATCTAACTATGTTTAGGAATATGACCATATAAGAAATACACACAAAGTGGAATGAAAAGATCTTTTTGCTTCATATTAAAAAAAAAAGAAGAGATTGGTTCATAGGCTTTAATTATTCTGAAAGAAGTTTCACCATCAGTGTGGCTGATCTGCTGAGTTCCTTCATGAAGAGTAAATGTACTTGCTGTAGATCTAAGTAAGCATAATGTGCCTAAGTTCACAAAGGCCCAATGGACATTCATGATATTGATTAACTAGGGTAGAATAACCTATAGAAATTCCCCAGGATCAGCTATCCACACTAGCAGTACTTTAATTCCATAATAGTTTCAATAGTCAAGTTGTGAAGCTTCCTCATTAGATGAAAAGCTTTCAACCTGACACACAGCAAGACCACACCCAGTCACGATTTCTTGTGGCTGGGCACACAGCGAATACCTGCATCATTACCACATCCATGCTTTATGCTGAGTTACCTACAAGGACAAAGCTCAAAGAGTATTCCAAGGTCTGATGTCTTGTGCAAAGTGCATATTTGTGTCCTGGGACTGGTCACAGGGCATGGAACTTGTGTAGGTTTGAGATTCTGAACTCAGGAGATTGTACAGTCATCTCTGGATCTACCCTTACTCCTTCTACCACCCTGCAAATCCTCTCTGCTTTCAGCCCTCTTAATGAAAGCACTTTGCAAATCCTGTTCTGAAACATCTTGATCTTGTAATTTTCCTACTTTACTAGAATCTGATACTTCGATTTCATTTTCCTCCACATCAGCCTCCTCAGCAGTTTTCCCTGATGCTTCCCTTTGCAAGCACCCTGTTTCTTCAGGCTTATCTTTTTCACGCTGCAGGACTTCACCTTTGGTCCAGGCATCTTTGGTTTCCATTTTGTCTGTTCCCTCTCCAGCTTTGTCCATGTGGGCAGTTTTTCCAACAGCACCATTTGCTCCATCACCCTCTTCTCCCTGTGTATCAGCTTTCTCCCCACCACATTTTTCATCAGATTCTAGTATTTGATTTGACTCTTCATCAAAATCAAATGCATCACCGTCATCTTCCAGGCTTTCCTCTGCTTGGTCCTCCAATTTCATTTGTTCACTAATGTCATCCTGCACAGGCTTCTGTGCCAAGGAATTATTTACATTTTCCTCCAATTTCACTTGTTCACTAATGTCATCCTGCACAGGTTTCTGTGCCAAGGAATTATTTACATCTTCTTCCAATTTCACTTGTTCACTAATGTTTTCATCCTG